TACCCACGTGTTTTGAATCATTCCAGTGAATTGAAATGGTGAAGATGAACTCGGCGGTGGATTGTCTAAAAAGTCCTGGAAGAGTTAATGAAGAAGACAGCCCTCAAATGTGGAAGGAGAGCGTGGATAAAGTAAGGGAATGGCTTGAGTTTGCTTTACCTTAAATCACTTGATTGTCACGTGACCTACAGTAATATTTCTAAGCTATCATATTGCCCTATTTATTCCTAAGTACATTAATGCATGAAAAAATCACTGGCCACACTTTTCATTCCCACTTTCTCCTTAGTTGGAACTACTCCATCGTCTTGCATTTGCTCCTCTCCATTAACCCTCTGTGTTTCTTCGTGAATGGGATATTTAGCTTCAGTATATAGCTAATAATATTATGACAAAATGGTTTGAATTTGAATTTTTTAAATTTGAATTATTTGCAAGTGTAATCTAAAAAAAATGAATTTAAGGTAGGCTAGTAGTTTAAATAGTTCTGAATTCGATTTTTTTTTTTTTTTCAAACGAATATTGAACATTAAGAAATTTAACAAATGTTTTTATGGCTGAATTTTACAGACATGCATTTTCATACAGCTAGTTTTAGTTCTGAATTCTTATACTGCAAATATTCAGTTAAAAAAAATACAGATTCAAGTTTTCAAGATGAAGAAATTAGGAACTTCAAATTCATTTTTTTTTTTTTTTTTTTTTTTAAATTCAATCTCAAAAATTCAAACTCAAAAATTCAGATCTTACAGAAAGTAGCTACTCACACAGGTCACAGGTCATCCACAGGGAATAGTAGATGATCTCAGAAAAGTCGAACAGAGCATTTTGGCCAATTCGGGACTGCAGAAGTTTTCCAGCGTGAAGCCGCGAACATGGTGGTGGTTCAAGAGGTTGCCACTCTCTGACCCTGATCATGAATCGCCCAGAGTGATTCTGAAACATGAATGATTTTGTGTTTATGGGTGGGAGACATGACATGCAATTATACCCGTCCATGATGTTATAACCTAATAAAAATGGGTATTTGTTAAAAATATATATCTTCATGTTGTTCCTCTGACAATATTATTCCAGCATACCATCTGTAGTTGGTGTATAAAGACCTCTACTTCAAATTTTTATCTAAACATCAAAATTGTCATGTAGTGTGACAGAATTGGGCTATTTGAATAAACACAGAAAATGTTGATGTCTGTGTATGATTTTAAAGCAAGTTCTGGCCAAATACCCTTTTCCGTAAAATGGGTTTAATATGGTGTGACACGAACGGGCAATAATTAGGACATCATTATGATGAATTGGTCCATACTCAACCAGGATGTTGCAAGGTGCATTCCATTCGACCATAAGTGGACTGCGAAGTGGACTTCACAGGGTATTTAGCCATCTTAAGTGAGATTCCAGTCCGTAGGGAACAAACATGTTCAAGTGCATGAACAATTGTGGAAGGAAGCTAAATGAAGCTATTTTTTTTACGACCCTTTAACATATCAGAATCATCTCCTTGATTGTTTTGTGTGTTCATATAGATAAGACAACAAAAGTCACCAAGTTTCAACCCCCCCCCCCCCTTCCGATGAAGCAAAATAAAAATTCAAAACGTTAACAGTTTCTGTCATTTTTGAAGACCAGAGGGTTAACCATTCTTTATCCTGCCTCTGTTCAGGTGAATCATGGGAATGTTCTCCTCACCCACGGCCTTCGTCATGTCCTCCACCTCTCCTGTAAAGACCCCATTTGTCACATGACCTGTGGTCAGGGTGCCGGAGGCTTCACTAGTCTCCACAGTAGTGGTAATGTGCAGTTCTATTATCCCGATGGCCATCTTAGAGATCCATCTTTACGCCGATCCCACACCATCCACTATGCTGGACTCACCTCCACACATCTGGCAGGCAGACTGGTTGGCTGGGGACCTGGGGCCATTCTCACTGTACTAGATGCAGAACTGAATCCTCTGGTTCATGCTGTGGAACCCATGGATGTGAGAGTGTGCAAGGTGTGGCTTTAAAGAAAACTTTTAAGGTCACGGTTGATACAATTAAACCTGGAATAACGTTTTCTTAATGGAATAAAATGTTGATGTTGTAGACAAGTGGTTCTCAACCAGGAAGACGGGGCCCACTAGGGGGCTTCAATATGATTTAATAAAATTAAAGTATTTATTATAAATGATTTATCTATGCACATATTTTTTTTAAAAACTCATTTGTCCTCCTAATTTTTAATAAAAAAAACACCCAATCAATTCCAGATGACATAAATAAAGTCCCACTCTAATTGTTTTCTTCTTAGAAGTAATATCAGAATAAGGATCACAACTTCCGCAATAATACAACTTTCATGATGACTTAAAATTATGAAAAACAAGCTTTAAAATAACTAAAAAAAAACTTTTAACATTTGATTTTTTTATTCAAAAAATAAAAAAAGAAATTCATCCCCAATCTTCAGAAATTCTACAATTTGATTATTTTATAATTATTTAATTTAAATATTATTTAAATTGTAAATTAAAAAGGCTCCCCCCTGGGGTGGTTGAAAGTTGTTGTTGACAATGGGGGGCAATTGGAAAAAGTCAAAAAAGATTGAGAACCACTGGTGTAGACATCAGGACCTTGTTTTACTGAATGTGAATTAATGAGACATGTGTCTGTTACAGATTTTGGAGCACTCTAATGAGCTTGTCACAGCCGGAATGGGAAATGTATGTGTGTGGTGCCTTACACACTTGATATGTCGCAAACGGGTGGTGGAGGGTTTGGGGAGACACATTGTTTTCACACATCTAGCACTGGTGCCTAGCAGGACTCAGCAGGACCGCAGAGCACTGGCAGCATATGGACGAGCTGTAGTTGTGCTGGACCTTACAAAGGGATGTATTATGGAGCACAAGAAGAACCTCCATTTAAGGTTTGTTTTGAATATTTTGTAATAATTCAGTCATTCACAGCTATTAGAGGGACATTTCACCAACCTGTATGAATTTATTTCTTCTGCTGAGCACAAAAGATGATATTATGAATGTTGAATGTAATTAATTTAACCAAACAGTTGACGGTAGTCATTGACTTCCATGGTACGAAAATAACGAAATATGGAAGTCGATAGCTACCGTCAACTGTGCTTACCAACATTCTTTATCTTCCTTTGTGTTCAATAGAAGAAAGAAACTCATACATGTTTGGAACAACTTGAGGGTGAGTAAAGGATGACAGAATTTTAATTTTTGCGTGAACTATCCCTTTAAAATCTGATTGATTTCAATTCACGCTATGGAATATAAAATCCCCTCCTTTTTAAAATATAAAAAGGAAAAACTTTTCTCTCACCTTTTCTGTGGAAACATTAATAATCCCACTAGTAACGTCTTAAATAAAATAAAAATAAAACATTAAAGTTTATTTTGTTTGAAGGGTTAGTTTGAAGAATTGTTGCTGTATTGCAAACAATAATGACCAGAGTTTGATTGATTTACTTGTTCTGGCCATGTTTTTACTAGCTTTGTCCCACCAGACTCTCATACATTTAATTTGTACAGAGAGTCTGGCCTCGCTTCATTGACAAGCGTTAACTTCCTTGTTGGCGGGTACTCTGTTAAGCCACTCCCTTTGTTCGCTGATTGGACTGGTAAAAAAAACTGACCCAGGAGAACTAAAGAATACACCACACAGCCAGACATAGTACTGAAGGAAAATGTAAATTGAGCGGAAGTATGTAGGAGGGCAGAGCTAGGTTATGTTTTTGCAACTCATTTGTACAGAAATAAAATGCGCATGTATTGCAGTTTGTTTTCATTGGACTGTCCAATGAGTAAAATACTGTACATGCATTCACTTAGCTGGGAAACATTTGTGATAAAATGGGTTAAATGAAACTGATGTCTATGTAAAAAACGTAACTCTAGTCCTATTAAATCATTCTCCTTTTTTTCAGGGAAATCACAGGGATGGTCTACTGTCCCCTCAGGGAAATTGTAGTTACTGCATCAGATATGACAATCCGAGTGTGGGGACTAGACTGGGAGCTTCAGATGGTTTTTGTTGGACATACAGGTCAGAAAAAATCAGTAAACATCCCTGTTAATAAAGAAAAAATGAGTGATATTTGCAATTGCATTGTTGAAATTGCATTAGCTAACAGAGAACATTCTCTGAACATGTTCAGAATGTTCTGGCAAAGTTATGAACAAACATTTTTACGTTAAAAGAACGTTAAAAGAATGTTCATTCTTATTTATCTGATCTGTTGAGCAGCACTTTAGACCTTTGTCAGTTCACTGACCATTTTGGATGAAGTCTTATTGAGAATATACTGTACTTCCTTCATGAGTAGGTGCTTTGTGTCATTTCTCCAGCTCTAGTCACTTCCCTAGTTCTGTGTCCTGTCTCTGGCCTGTTGTTTTCATCTTCTCTTGATGGCACTTTGAGATGCTGGAGGCCTGAAGTTGGAGACCAGGTCCAGACTGTATCGATTCCTAATGGGTCCTCACCTCCTCTTCTCATGGGAGGCCCAGACAGTGCTGGCACCTTCTTCTCATACTCCACCAACAGTGTGGACTTCTGGACCTTCAACAGCCTCTACAATCTACACTGCAGACTGGATCGATTCCTGGGAGGTCCTATCCGCCAAATCTTGACCCCACCTAGCCCCCCTTCCATCCAAGCATGTGTAGTTTGTATCCATGGAAACAGTGATGTCACAGTTGTTGCGGCAGAGACCGGTGCAGTGCTCACTAGGTTCCAAGCCAATGGAAGAGTAAGGTGTGCTGATTACTGTGTGCCTAAGGAGCGCCTATTGGTCCTGACTGAGGATGGGGTGGTATCTATTGCTAGTACTTTGACCAGTCCAGTAACAATACTGGATGAGTGGCATGGGATAGAGCATTGGGATTGGTCAGGTGGGCAGGTGGAGGCAATCATAGGCACCGTGTGCTGCATGGTGTTATACAGTGACGTTACAGATGCACAAAGTGGACAGGAGGAATGGAGATCCTTACAGAGGCAGAGAGTACAGAAGCCACAAAAGAATAAACTTCTACATGATGCAAAAAACAGGTTCGTATTTAGTGTATGTTTGTGTGCTGCATGTATTTGTTGTTTCAGGCTGATATCAGCAATAAGTTGAATATGGGTAAAGTGGGACTGTTAAGCTTGATCCCTTGTACTATATACTAATGAACTTCCATAAATGGTTTTAAAAAATCATCAATAAATTAAATTGATGATCTCACATTTAGGGGCAGAAAGCCTGCTACACCCCTACTACATCATACGTAAATGGGGTGTACCAATTACTTATGACGTTACGGCAAATGATGTTGAAATGGGGTTTTGCTTAGAAAAAACTTTGAATTTTTTCAAAATGAGCCAATGGCAAAGGCATGCCATGGGTCTGCAGATTTTGCATAGCGTGACTCTGCCCCACCTTGTGGGTATTTAAGGAAGTATGCTGGCAAAATGCAGATATGTTACTTGCTGAGGTGCCGAGACTGAACTCAGGCTGCTCCAGCGGTACAGTAAAGTGGCAGAGAGACATAACGTTTCTTTCGTAGTCACTTCGAGTTAGTTACTGCCTCGTTAATTTTTGTTATTATGATGATTTTCATTATTTTTTACGTTATTTTTGTTGTTATGATGCATTTAATAGTTAATGGATAAACATATCTTTATAAAAGTTCACAATGCTGCTGCGGATGCAATATAATGTTGACAATGCCCCTTTATCTAAACCTCTCTACATAACCGCCGGACTCATGCGTCCTCAATGTCTGTAGTTTTTTTTTAACACTTTTCACTTGTGTTTGTTGGTCTAATCGTAACCTCGTCCAACGATATTAGCCGTCAGAGTGTGCATCGATCTGCACTTAGGATTCTGAACGAAAATAGTAGTCCATCTCTTTTGAACACTCATTTAAACATACTACGATTTGGGACGTACTGATCCTATTTTCGAAAACTATTTAGGAGGGATAGTATGCGAATTGGGACGCAGCATGTCTCTTACTTAGGTTTTTTGTGTTTGTGTCTCATAGGTTTCTTGTTATACTGGGCCATTGTGGTGGATGTGTCTCTGTGCTCAACATGCTATCAGGCAAAGTCCAGTTCAGGACTTCTGCTCACAACAACCAAAACATCATCAGCATGCAGGCACACCCCAACAGTGGCTACCTGCTGACTGCAGGTGCACACATACTTCACACACTCTACTACATTACTAATTTATTATCTACTACTTATTAATTTATTATCTACTACTGATCTAACCACTGACTGATACAACACACTTGAGAATGATCACAACACCGGTCATCATCCAATCACAGCCCACCCTCATGAACATCAGATCATACTCTAAATTGAGAATTAACAAAGTCCTTTCAGGCAAGTCATGCCACTCGGCCGCCATCTTGGCAATGCCTCCGGGCAGCTATTTCGGACTTAACAAGACCAGGCTCTATCTAAATGAATGGGCAGAGAGTCAGAACTGCACTGGTCACCGGGACATAAAAACTGCATGTATAGAAACAGCAGTAAAATATAATAAAAATCGCTGAAAAAGTTTGATGACTTTGCCCTAAAATAAGGTTTAAAACACCGTTTTCCCACAGGTTATACTTTTACTGTGCATGCGCAAGGGTTCTCTCGCTCTTGACCGGTCAGTTGGACCGGTCAGTTTTTCCACACGGCGGGGGTTTTATATGTTCCCCATTTGTAATGTCGAGGGACCGACTCGATAAGGGAACCTTTCAGGTTACTTGCGTAACCATAGTTCCCTGAGAGGAGGGAATGAGACATAAACTTCTTTGTGAAAATCCTTCACTATCATTGCTCTCGTTCAGTCGAAAGATTTTTGGAGGTTTTTGGTGCCCTGCATCACCTATATTGAGGATTGTCAGCCAATCAGGTGAGGGCGAGTATGTCATTGGCTATTTGCAAGCAAAAGAGTTCAAATCAGGCATCAGCATTTCGAGGAAAATAGATTTTCCATACGTAATGTCTCGTTCCCTCCTCTAAGGGAACTACGCTTACACGAGTAACCAGAGACGTTTGATTTGAAAGCCGTGGTCGCTCCCGGTTCAATCTGGAATTGTGCTTACAGCAAATCCCTTTCACTGTCCAGGTTTTGATTTCGGCAAATCAGATTTGGTGAATCCAAACAATGTGATTATTGTTCATGACATGAGTCCAACATCCAGCCACGCAAGAAAACATGAAATCATTTCCTTTTCTGAAGTTGGCAACCCTAACTACATCACCACACTAATTGTTAGCATTCACTGATTGACTGATGATAATCTTGATGGCTTAATATTGTAGGCGAAGATAAAGCTCTGCTGGTCTGGCGTGTGTTCCCATGTGCTCAGCAGTGTTTGAGTCTCCATTTCAGCATGTTGTGTGATCTGCCTCCTATTTCGATGGCACTGATGGGAACTCAACTCACCCTCGCTTTACAAGATCCAGAGAATGACTCCTATAGCCTGGTGCAGTACAGTTTAAAGAGCCAAAGCCGATCTGACCAGCAACCAAATGAAGAGCATCACAACAAAATCACAGGTTAGAGACTGCAAAAACTTTTTTTTACCGTACTTCAAGTGAATTAGATCAACCCTCAGATCACATTTAGACCATGTAGTGACCAGTAGTGATTCTCTACCTTTTCGATCAAAAGGCCTCCCAGTAGACAACTTTTGAGAAAACGTTGACTTAGCCTGAAAATTTGAACAAGCACAACTTACAGGTCCTACCCCCTTGCTGTCTGCTGCGCTACAGCCCTCCCTCCACTGCTCCTCCCCAACAGCGGAGCCTGCCGTGAATGCGCAGGCTAGTAAGCAGGGACACCCATAACGACGGATAAGCAGTTATGGCGCATTCACTAGTAGGGACGAAACATCAACAATATGTTTTACATTGACTAAGGCTTGCCCATACTTTAACTACAAAGTTGCTTCTCAAATCATTACATATTTTGCAATACATGTAATTTAAATTCATAATATTGCACTTAAACGCACTTGCATTTAAAGTTATAAATAGCTAGTAAGATAACATAACGATAATGTAATTTATGTAGCCTATTATAATTCAAGTAATTATTCTAGCGATATGTAGGTCTAGATTAGGTTTACTAGTACATTTTGGGTTCAGATGTTTTGGGAAAAAGGAGGTGGGAACCTGCGAACGTTCAACAAGTTTAATTATGAATGAACAAATACGAAATTAAAGTGGAAGCCTCCGTGAGAGATGCTCCGCTGCTTTCATGTCCCTGTCCCTCGGCCTCAATATATTATATCGCCACAATATTATTTCAGCAACATGACAAGCCAGTGAATTAACAGGTTTCCATTGTTGCTTATTACAGTGCGAGACATTTTATCTACATGTAACGTGGCTAGAGTTTTGACACCGAGTCAATGGACTTTCTTGGACTTTCAATGGACCTACTTTCTTTTTCGCTTGTTTATCGTCATTTTTTTTTTCCTTTTACCTGTCTTTGCTTTATGAGTAGGCGCCACTCGAGAAATTGTTAGTTTAGGTTGTTTCTCTGTCATTAGCACAGCTGCAGCACACCGGCAATCTTCAGTTTGGTTTGAATAACGTCGCGCTGTGCAAGAGCGCTCTCTTGTGATCACGCGTACATGAGCGTGATTGACACTGCTAAGACACTCCTCCTGGCTCTGATTAGTTGTTTCTGACCGGGAGCGGTGTATTTATGCAAATGGCAATAGGACCACTGGGAGGAACCAGAGGAGCTTGATTTTTTCACATATAGTATACAGTCTGATTATGTGTCTCCAGGGCTGTGTGCATGTTATCAGCTCAGCGTGTTTGCTTCAAGCAGTCAGGATGGGACTGTACGAATCTGGGATATGGAAAATCGCCTTCTAAGGTCAGGACAGATGCTACGTTTTGTTGTTAGTTGTATGTGTTATGTAAGAATTCAAACTTTGATTTGACCTTGACTTTTGTGGTGTGTATTTCAGAATTCTTGACCTGAGCGCAAATCCAGAGTGTTTGGCGTACTGTGAGGGTGGAGACCTGCTATTAGGCATCACAGGAGACCTCTACAGAATCCGACTCACACAGCTACTTCCTCCTGACTGCAGGACACAAGTACAGCTTAAGCTGTCAAACAGCATAATTTTTTGTTAAAACATTCTTGAAGGATTGCCAGACTCTTGGGCCTTTCTGTTAACACAGCTCAAACATGCATTTTAGTCTGGGACAAGATTAAGGGGTTAGTTCACCCAGAAATGAGTGGCTTAACCTTAAGTTTATCAAGCAACGAGAATACTTTTGGTGTGGAAAAACAAACAAAAATAACGACTTTATTCAACTATTAATTTTCTTCCGTGTGGGCCTCTGATGTGAGTTTACGAGAGCGCCACGATGTATGCGTGAGAACTGAGAGGATGATGCAGATGGGTCTCGATGTAGCTTTTAAAATGGTTCTAAAGTGTGTATTTCCTGGATGCCTGAAACCAATGAGAAAACGTAAAAGTGCCTTACCAATGCCACAAAATGAATGGCTTACCTTTCACACTTTCCTATCGAATGATCATGAGTTTGACGTTATCTTCTCAGTTCTCGCTCATGCGTCGTGGCGCTCTTGTGAACTCATGTCAGAAGCCCACATGGAATAAAATTAATAGCTGAATAAAGTTATTTTAGTTATTTTTTTGCGCACAAAAAGTATTCTCGTCGCTTGAGCCACTGCAGTCACTTGGACTATTTTAACGATGTCTTTAGTTGATGTCTTAAGTTTTCTACAGAAGCAATTACCTAGCAGCCTGTGAAGGAGTGAGACAGCTCTCACATTTCATCAAATATATCTTAATTTGTGTTTCCGAAGATGAACGAAAGTCTTACGGGGTTGGAAAAACACGAGGGTGAGGAATTACTGACAGAATTTTTGGGTGAACTAACCCTTTAAAGGGTAACTAAACACCAAAACAACTTTTTTTAGTTAATGATCTGTAAGAATGGAGCTTCATAAATGCTGTTCATTGATTCGAGTACATTTTTTGACAATTGAGTATAAAGTGTTTTGATTTTCAAATATATGGTGTAAAAACGTCTGAGTGCTGCCCTCTTCAGGTTAAACGGAAAGCTCCTGCAGTAGGGGTACTTGCTGACGTAGCGAACTCTCAGACGCACTCTGTCACACCCTTGGTGCGAGCTCACCACGCCCTTGGCAGCCCCTGGTATAAAAGCATCTGGTTCCGTCAAAACTACTGTAGCGAGTCAGGAGTTGGATTTATGAATATTGAAAACGATCAGGATACTATAGCATATAATAGCATCTAGTTAGCATAGCATTTATATAGTTATTTAGATTATTTTTGAAAACGACCAGGATAGAGTATTGTTGCATCTATTTAGCATAGCATTATATAGATAATTTAGATTATTTTGTGTAGCTAGTAGCATAGTACAGTTAGGATAGCTTCAAGTTAGCATAGATTTATCAGTGTTTAGTACAGTGATCAGGATAGTAACGGAATAGAGGTGGACATGGGCTTCTCCACACGCAGTGCCAAACACTGCTCGTCCTGCATGGACTCCTCCACCGCAGCGGCGTCTTGATGTGAGTGATCATGGATATTTTAATCACAATTTATGGTTAGGATAAAGTTAATCCTCTGGGGTCGACAAACGAGCCGGTGCATTTTGCTGGATTTTTTCATATAGCGGCATAATATCAATAGCGTGCGCTATTGAGATCAACTCGACGACATAACTCATCAGATGCCGGTCGCGATGCGGGAGTTAAGACCGCAGTTTGAGCCAGCAGCTCGAATGGATTTGGCCCTGTGTATACATACAATTCACCCTCATCCACTTCAGGTGAAGGTGAAGGTGAGGGAGAAAAGTCCTCGACTTCAAATGGCCGCTCTGTTGCAAAGGCAGCTATTGAGTCACTCCAGACTAGTCTCGCTCTATTTTAGAGTCTGACAGCAGCTGTCACTCACGGCGGGTCTCAGGTGCACGCCCCCTAGCCCCGCTGGGGTCTGCCCATTTTTTCAGCATTTTTCAAATATTGCTAGTGGGTGGAGTCAGGCTCTGACCAGGGGTTTAGTTACCCTTTAAGCCAGACACTGATGTTAAAAACTGTACAAAATAATGGTTGAGTGAAAAGATTGAGTAAGGTGTAATCTAGAACAGAGGAGGCATAGTCTGTTCAAACTAAATTAACCATTCATTTTGAATGTATTCACTTTATCACCCACTGAGAAATGTGATCCAGACTCTCAATTACCAAAATCCTGGATCCCAATCATGAACCACAACATCAGGTAACTTTCTACTCAAATAAAAACCCATGCATAAATACTGTACATATCAGTAAGCTCACTCTTTGCTTTTAACGCCTATCTCTAGGACAGAGAGTTGCCATGTTGCTAAAAAGGATGGTTCTGAAAGGCTCGACAGGATAAAACATTCAGTAAGTACCAAATATATGTAAGAATATGTTGTGTCAGAGCTCATCCATATGTTTGTCTTAAAGGACTTTGGGGCTCTCGTGGCAAGACATAAAGATCTGGAATCCCTACTAAAAGGAGAGGTTGAGTGCAGAAGGAGAAAAGCAGCCACCATGCAAACCAAACAAGAGGCTTTCAATAATTACCTGCGTCTAATTTACAGGCAACCCCTCCAAATAAGAGTATGTTCATAAATTTACCTTTACTGTCTTTTCAGTCAATATTTTCCCACAAAAAATATTCAAAAACCACTTCCATAGAAAAAGGAAATAAATGTTCTAAATGATTTTTTATGAACCTTAAGTATGTTTTTATTAGGTTTTGAACAACTTAAAATTCTGGTTTTGTGTGAATGCACATTGAATAACAGTGCAATAATAGTTTTTTATTGTTGTTTTTTGCTTGCCATGAGCAGATTGAACTTGATGAAGTGCAACTCTTGTGTACTGAAGAGGAGGAAAAGAAGGGGAGGGGAAATGCCGACATACATCTTACACCCATCACAGAGACTCCATCTACAAAGAAGAGCCCTCTTCCACCCAGATCAACAGCAGAGAAACTCAGAGAAAAAATATACACTGTTAGGATGTTTTTGTCTTTTTTTTTTAATTTATTATTATTCATTCTAGTCACATGCGTCCTTGTGTAAAATAACAAAACTCATATAGTGATTGTGTGTTGAGTTGACTTGAGGTGACAAATGATGTCACATAACCACTTAATCGTTTGCTATTTTTTTTTAATTTACTCTCACATACTCACTCTTCACAGCCACCAAAGCCCCTTCCACCAATACAGTGTCCTACACTCCCTCCGACTCCACCCTCTGAGTCTGCACCACCTTCACTCAGCCCTGTACCACCCTTGCCCATCACAGAGACTTCATCTACACAGAAGAGTCCTCTTCCACCCACAACAGCAACAGAGAAACTCATATACCCAGTTAGGATGTTTTTGTGTGTTTTTTTATATTCATTCTAGTCACATGCATTCTTGAGTAAAATAACAAAACTTGTATAGTGATTGACTGTGTGTAGTGTTTACTGCTGCTGACTGCTTTGCATAAAAATGCGGTTACATCAGCAAAGAGACATTGTCCATTGTCATTAGCATTGCTATTGAAGCAAAACTCGCACAGAAAACTTTGTATAGAGAAAAACTTGCATAGAAGTAACTTTCAAACCAAGCAGCTTTCTGCGACCAGCTTAAATATGAATGAAATTTAAAAACATTTTTCGCCCTCATGTGAAACTTCCATTTGTGATTCCAATTTAAATCAAAATTTAAAGCTGTAGTATACGATGTTGAAAATCGGTCGAGAGAGCCTGAAACGGGAGGGAAGTTTTGAAAAACTCATCCCGCCTCTCCACACACACACCCCTCCCCTCTGCTACCTGATCCCTCCCACAGGGAAACGAATTGAACAACGTCACTCAATCAATTGAACAACGTCACTCAATCAAGTTGTCATCATCGGAATGACACGTTTGAGATCACGCCAACGCAAGATTAGCAACACATGAAATGTTATACACTACCCACCACCATAAGTATGATATCAATAGTATTGGTAAGGTTTTGAGTAATTGTTAGCAGCATACAGCGCATCTTTTTGAAATTCCGATCGGCTCGAACAGAAACCCGCTAGGCATACTGCAATATATTCAAGCACTTCAAGAAATATATTTACTTTGAACCGTGATACAGGTGATGCTAAACAGCTAACATTCCAATGCCGACCGGCAGCATTAGCAAGTTTTCAGACTGATAAAAAGCTATTTATGTAACACGTCACACCATATAAGAATACAAATAAATGTTTACCTGCTCAACAAAAAGTCAGCCGTGTCAGCGTCGGTCTTCAGTCCCAGATCTCGCTGAAGTTTCCTCCATCGGTCAATGGTGAACCCTATATTTATCCTACTCAACTTTCGGCGTTCTTCACATTTTCTTTTCGTCTCTGCATTTTCCTCAAACGACTTTCTCTTCCGTCCTAACTTTCTTGTAGGGGCAAGCAGGGGACGCTTGCTGATGTATTTTTCGTTGTTATCCATTGCTGTCTGATGTGCTACTTAGCTACCATGTGCGGTCACCGGCTAACGTGCGCGATTCTCATGACGCAGAAGGGGGGCGCGGTTGGGCGTGGTTGGGCGCGGTCGGGGTGGAGACGCGAGCTCCAGGCGGAGTTTCATGTGTAGCTTGTGATTGGATGAGAGCAGTTGACCAATGTAGCTTTGCGCTCGCAAAGCTTCCATTGGTCAACTTTTATGTGGCTTTACAGCCAATAGAGTGAATGGATTTTTTTCGTTCTTTTTTCTATTTATATTGTTAGGATTATACTACCATAAACAGCATCTAAACGAGGATATTAATAATGAACAATCTTTGAAATCGTATACCCTAGCTTTAAGAAAGGTAAGGGATGATGTCATATAACCACTTAATTGTTTGCTCTTTTTAATTGAATTTGCTCACTCTTCACAGCCACCAAAGACCATTCCACCAATTAAGTGTCCTCTGACTCCACCCTCCAAGTCTGCACCACCTTCACCGCCCCTTGCCCCACCCACTCCACCTAAACAACCCACATCCTTGCCTCCTCCGCCCTCATCATCTTATCTGCCAGAGTTCCTCCTGCAGTTTGTGGATGAGAAGTGGTTTCAAAAGATGTTCCCTGATTTGAGTGTAAGATATCAAACATACAATTATATCAGTCTCCTTGTTCTAGTTCATTTCTGCATCATTCGACATTCATTTGTGCATTTGTTTGCAGTGTATTTCTTTAGGCCCCAATGAATTCTGCATGCTTCTTTTGGACTTCATGATGTCTTGCAGCATGGCTCAGAAGAATAGCATTGTGAATGCATTACTTATGTTAATTCAGCAGGAGGTGTTGGACAAAATATCTCTCAGCAAAAGACTGCTGGTTTGCCTGGAAAATTGCATTCGCAAAAACATGGTGAATCAAATTGTGATCGTAGATTAAATAGGCTACATACAGATTACTGAAATACATTTTGTTAACAACTTCTAAAGGATCATTTTATTTTTTTTAATGTACAAATACAGAATTAATGAATTCTTCATAAACACTACAGATAAGTATTCAGTATGAGTAATATGTGAAATTAATATGTGAATGTGTTTTGCAGTCAAGGGAGGAACAGCATTTTGTCGGTGAGCTACTGAATTTGATGGTGTATCTGAGTCCTGACAGTTTTAACACCATTGTGGAGCTACTCGCCATGTTGGCAGATAAACAAGTTGATCTTAAGTAAGGAATTATGCATGTTTTTAGCACAATACAAAATACAATACAGTTTTATATTCCATTGCATATTTTTTCAATGTTCCATTGCACTTTTTTTCATGGCCCACTTTAATACTTTATGAAATTGCTTGTGAAAGGGATGCAGAACATCCAATTATTGAGCAGGAGTTTCATGTTTGGGTTTTTGGGTGACCTAAAACTTAAGTCACCCAAAGTGGTTTCCACTACTTTCTAAAAAAACAAAAAAAGTGACACCCGATTGCCATTGGAAATCTCCTGTATGAATGTAAAATATGCTAAATGAAAAAAAATATATATATTTTGGGAATTAACCATTCTTTCATTATATCTCTGGCAGGGCTTTAGTTCTGTGTATTTTACAAAGAATGGGTGTGGAGGAGGCTGAAATGTGGTTATGTCCAGAATTCGAGTCCTGGAACTCTCTGACAAAGCATCAGCCTAACCAGCACTGCATTCTTCGAGATATGGCCAGCAACTGGCTGCTTACCTGGACCAGAAAGTACAAGGTACTGATAAAATATCAAATTGGTAGATATATTTTTGAGGAAAGCAAAAGGTGCATTTCTGTTGTACTTCACAGGTGCACAAAAGGTCTGTGTTCTTGCAGAGTGAAGGAGTACAGAGTATGTGCACTCCTGTGGAGGTGCTCGTTTATTTCTGCTCTGTGCAAAGAAGCAAACAACCCCGACCACTGCCACCTCCACCAGAGGGCAGGAAGGATGCTGTTATTGTACCGTCAGACTTGGATAGGTATGTCATACTGATACAGGGACATCCTCTATCAATTGGTTTTGTCTGATGTATTTTTTTTTAGTCAGCTTATCTACATTTAAAAATGTTAAATGTACCTCAAATTTATCTAAAGAATCTTACAGTTGAATCCAAACCTTTTCTATAGTCTCTTTACAATCAAATTAATTAAATGATGGCCTTTTTTACAAGCTGTAACATAAGTGTCAGGTGTCCCCAGAATGCATTGGTAAAGTTTCAGCTGTAAATGCCCCTTTTTGGGAGGTCGCAAAAACATGTTTTCATGTGTGTAGAGCTGCTGCTCCAGAAGAGGGCCGAGCTTTTACAGCTTGTGCCACCAACAAAAAACAAAACATCTGTAAATATTCATTTTTGATTACCATCTCTATCGCGGTTACGCTTAGGTGACAGATTGGTTCTTGGTCATCATGAAATTTTATTATCTGCATGTATTTTAAAACTTTAAACTTCTGATATGCTGAGCGTACACATCTGAAGCTCACGGATAGAAAGTGGCGGCTGTCACATGTCATGTGGCCACTAAACTAAGTTCTCTTTCACGTCTTATTGAGCTTATACTGTGAAATACACACAAAGTTTACATAAACATAGTCATTTATGTCTGTGAATGTAAACAGCTGTAAAAGAAATCATGTGTATATTAGATCTGTGTATTAAAGGCCCACTGACGTTCCTTGGTACGTTCAACTTTGTATGATGTGTTGACGTAATTTCCACTGAAACAGGAGGCTAAGCGGGACATATTGAATGGCTCCTTTTCAAATAGCCAATATCGTTTTTTTGTTTGTTTTTGTTTTTTGTTTTTTTTTCGGAAAGACTCGGTACAGCCTACCTTTCTTTTATAAATATAATAAATCTAAAAACTTATTGGAGATATGAAGGATGCAATATTACTCTATAGGTACTCAAGATTAATGATTGACTAGATTAGTCAAGATTAATGAGTTTTTCCACACACACACACACACACACCTTTAAAATATGATGCAAACGTGAATTTTGCTTAATGTCCCAGTTTAACTGGAAAAAAAGATACTCAATTAAAATACTGAACAACTGAAATACAGAAATGCTCTGTAAAAGAAGTGTTGATTGGATAAAAAAAAAAAAATTGGGTTTATAATAATCAGAGATTTCTTTTTTTTTTTTTTTTAATTAGTCTGAAGCCTATTCAGCGCCTGGGAGAGACATACAGTATGTCTAGGATACGGGAGCCTCAAGGTTAGTATATATTGTAGAGTCGACTTTGAGAATTCATTTGTTGTATATATAATAACTCTATATCCATTATGTTTATGGCAATAAAATATTACTTAGTATAATATAAATAAAATATTAGTTAGTATAACAGTTAGTTTTTAATATTCAGTTCAAGTGGAAACCTTAAAGGGATACTCCACTGTTTTTTTTTTTTTCATATTAAACTGTTATTCCCTTAACTAAGACGAGTTGATACATACCTCTGTCGTCTCAGTGCGTGCACTCAATCGTTTTGGCGCGCGAGACACTTTGATAGCTCTTAACTTAGCCCAGTTCATTCATTAGGATCCAACCAGAGAAGCGACCAAACACCTCCACGTTTTCCCTATTTAAATACAGTTACACGAGTTGTGTAACTCGACCAAGAATGGTGTCACAAAATAAAACATTAACTCGATTAACGACTCGGCGCAGTAATATCATCACTCGTGAAAACTAAAGTCATCTCCCCCTCTACCTGCCTAGAGTGATGATATTACTGTGCCGAGTCAAAGTGCTCCCAATTACTTGCTGTGGTGTCTTCTCTGGTTGGATCCTAATGAATGAACTGGGCTAAGTCAAGAGCTATCAAAGTTAAGAGCTATCAAAGTGTCAAAGTGTATCAAAGCTATCAAAGAGCTACTGTAATTTAGTGTACTGTACTGTATCAATGATTTTGTTAAACATCTTCGCTATAAACCAACAGGGCGTCTGCTGCCACCATTGCCATATCGACCTGCATTGATGGGTTTCACCCGGTTCCTCTCTCTACCAATGGCGTATGTCACGTTATCTCCATTCCCCTTTTCTCTGGATTTTCAGAACTTCAAACGCCCCTCACCACAAAGATACTTCTTCCTGGAACGCTCCTATGTAGAGTATTATAGATAGGAGCTGATTATTACAAAACGCATAACATGAAAGCTTTAAAAGAGTACTATACCTGATTCTCTCTATGATGCATTAATGACATGAAATAAATCATTAATAATCAATAATAAATGTATTAGTCAACTTTGTTTCTCCAATGTATAGAAACAATTCCTTTATCATCTTGAAAATGTGCAGTTATTGAATGTTTGAAAAAAAACTACTGGTTTTATTGTGGAAAGATACAGTGTGAATGCTAGCGCTTTGAAAAGCAGTCAGTTAATCGAGACACTGAGAAGTGAGAACAGAGTTCCAGTATCCTAAATAAGATATTGTGACATTCATTGACTACAGGATACATTTTAATGGCTGTAATTATTTTAAAAGCACAAATGGAGGGGCAGGGAGATTAGGGGTATTTTAAATTATTAAAACATTTATAAACTATATTATTTGACAATTTTTTTATTATGATTTTTGTTAAAATTTCTTAAGAGTTTTTGGGTTCAGGTGTACTTTTATCAATGTGGTGAGAATGCTTTATAATGACCAACTCTTCTGGTTGGTTTGCAAACTACGAAACATTTTAATTGTGACAGAGGAGTATGTCAAGGTTGCCCCATTTCCCTGTTTTTTTAGTGAAATATTTGGTCATTATGATGCTCAAGAATCATCTATGCATAATATACCTGCTGTGAAAGAATGTGTCAAGTATTGATGATTTTTCTTATCAAAGATAGATTGATGCCTAAAATAATAATAGATAGACAAAATAACAATAGATAAAAATAAAAATAATAATAATAGATAATGAAAATAATAATAGATAATTCACCTAAAATAATAATAACAATAATAATTACTAGAACTATTTTTAATTGTTGGCTACAACGAGACCTGTCAATCTATGGTAGAGTTCTTATATCTAAAGCCAAGAATCTGTATGTCTGCACCGTGGCGTTGTGTCTATTCCTCCTTATCTATATATATATATTTTTTTGTGGCTAAATCTGTGCCGACATGAACAAAATATTATTCACCACTTTTATCTGGAAGAACAAATCGCACAAAGTTAGAAAATCTGTGCTGAGGTTGGGCTTGAAGTCTTGACTTTTAAAGAATTAGTTAGCTTCTTTAGAATTTTTACTGTACTATATCCCCACTGCCATATTTCATAGATTAGGTGACTTAGATCTTTTAAAATGAAATTTCATCCCTTCTAAATGACAAATCTCATCAAAAAGCTTTAGCTACTTGCATGGACATAATTATGTCCAATTTTTTTCTGCCTACAACGAAATTGTGGAATAATTGTAACATTTTAGTCTGAAACAAATTATTTTTTATGGACAATTGGTTTAGATGGAAGTATTGTTTTGGATTTATTTAAAAATGATGGCAGTTGTCACAGTGTGGTTTGGGTAGAAGACTCAAAGTCCAAAGGCTCCAATACAAACGATTTACTTATATATTACTCAGGTATATACAGGCAGGATAACAAACAAACAAACAAACACTAACTGAACTGAAGGGAACTAAATACAGAGACTACTCTGTAGGGAACCCTGTAATTGTCTGTGAATATTATTTGAACATTATAGTAATTAAAGATTTTTTTTTCTTTTTCTGAATGTTCTGTATGAAGCTAATCAAGTCATTAAACAATACAGGTTTGAAACTATTTTTTTTTTATTCCTGTGAAAACTATGCCTTCCTTTAGGTCTTGATTATCTTCAAGAGACATGTAACATATGGAATTAGACTGGCAATAGAGGCTAGAGCAGAGAATTGAACCAGAACATTTTCATCCAGCATTGAGAAAATGAAGTCAACAAGTTTAGTTTAAAAAAAAAAATTAAAGAGGTGTCTTAGTTTGTTCCATCAGTGCAGGCCATACACATGGTATAAGGCAGCAAAGCCATATGCAAAATCAAAATCCTTTTATATGAGATGCTGCATACAATATAATGCTATGATTGATTTTTTATAAGAAAATGTCCAAGCCTAGGTTTGCTTTTCATGAAGAATCTCGGAACCACGAGTAAATTCCTCATGAGTGGTTAAAAGTAATATAAACTGAGAGTACTCGATTAATCATAGTTTTGATTGTCAAATGTTTATGAGAGCAAGCTCTGAGACATTCACTGCCTAGTCATCCACAGTCAAGTCTGGACTATATTTCAGAAGGTCAGAGGTCACAATAAGATCTCGTGAGCGTCCTCTCAATTTCAGAACTTCATCCAGCAACCTCAGCGTCAAGTCCCTGCTCTCAGGCTCCTCTAGTAGAGGCCAGTCCAGCAGCTGAGCACTGGAGGGGAGAGCAGGCAGACCAGGCTCATAATCCTCTAGTGGATTGGGATAGAGAAGCAGACGAAGAGAAGGGATTCCTGCTGCTGTACGGGCCAGGGAAAGAAGTCCCGTCCTAGATAGTGGGTTTAAGGCCAGTCTTAAGCTACGTAAAGCCCGACAGCAGGACAGGGAGGGGAGAAGAGCTCCCAGTAGAGTGTCTGTGAGGCCACAACCACAAAGTGAAAGCTGAGACATGGAGCTTTCAGCTTGAGCTAAGAGACGACGCAGAGAGGGCAGGGATGATTCATCAAGCTTGTTCTCACTCAGGTCAAGTTCTCTTAGGAAAGAAGCATGCTGACTGCAGGAGAGGTAGGCCAGATCAGTGGAGGTCAGGCACAGGTATGGCAGCTCCAGTACCTCCAGAGGCTGGGAAAGAGAGCTACAAACAAGAAAACGATAGATATGTGGTTTTGAAAAAAGGGCTTTCAAATTCATTTTTGACTCTGAAAATATAATGCAAAAAGTAATAAGATCATTTTCAATTCAATTCAAATTTATTTGTATAGCGCTTTTCACCATACATATTGTTTCAAAGCAGCTTTACAGAAAGTGCATTTCAGAAATGTACATGGAAAAAAATATTTAGTTAATCACGTTATGTGTTTCACATGCATTCATTTGACCACATATAATGCATATACATTATAACACATATAATGTATGTGCGCATACATATTTGAAAGCATATATATATATATGTATGTTTATATATATGTATATATATACTGTACATGTATACATATGTGTGTGTGTGTGTGTGTGTATTTTTTTTCATTATGATATTTTGATATATGACAATCCCCAACATGGCATCATGACTTTTGCCTAAACATCACTTTCAAGTCAAGTGGCGTTATCTATACGCATTTTGAGCTATCCGCGTGTATGCGTGTATGTCTACGCCGTTAAATGTCCGAGCGAAACAAAGCAGGGTTGTAGGGAAAGACTCATAAATGGTATTAACCCCAGTGACGGGTAGGTTTAGGGACGGGGTTGGGGTAGGTCATATATTTATTTATACAGTAATGTAACGTTAAGTCAACGGCGTTCATAAACACGCTGAAAAGCGATTATGTGTGTTGATAGCATGCCAAAAATGGAAATACGAATTGGTATGTATTCATCATAGTATGTATGATAAAACTATTAAAGAATGTGTGTGCAGTAGGAGTGTATGAGTAGGTGTGACAAATACAGCCATGTAAACCCACATATGTATGTACCTGAGCAGCAAGCGCAAGTGTCCTGGAAGTCGTAGTGCAGTCAGGCATAATCTCTGCAGTCTCTTCAGTGAACCCAGTCCTTTAGACATGTCCTGCAGTGCCTCCTGCTGGCCAGGCTCTGTGCGTTGCAAGTCCAAGTTACAGTAATGTAGTCTGAGAGAGTGAAGATGAGGGAAGGGAGCTAACAATGGAAGTAGCATGGCCAGGCCCGACACCCCAAGGCTGGAGTAGCGGAGGTCCACCCCGAGAAGATCCTGCTGAGGCAACAGAGTCAATAAGGAAGCTATAGAGGATGCTGGGAGTTCCTCCACACGAAGGTAACGGCAGTGGAGTTTCAATTGTCCCAGTTGACTAAGGGCATCACGGACACGCAACCAGGAACGAGAATTGATAAATAAGTCAGCCCTGACATGGAGCACAGCTACCTCGTCCCATTCTTGGTCACATAAGCTACCGTTATTACTGCTAGTGTTCGATTTCACCTCAGATGAAATCTTTCTCCTCTGGATTTCCATCCTCCTTCTGACACCCTTCACTGACTCAACTTCTGGTAACGTGTGTTCGCTAGTTCTGCACTCCATTTCCCCTACTACTTCCACTTGGTGTCCTCCCTGACTCCCTTCACCACTATTCCCGCACCCTACAGTGCCCCTGTCTCGTTTTATAGCACTCCGGTCGCGCTCTGCTTCCAGCCCCCTTTTTCGCTCTCGTTCACAATCTCTCCTGTGAGCCCTGAAGGCTGCTGCATCTCGAGCTTGTAGCACCATTGAGGAGAGGGCAACAGTGAGGGACCATCCACCCATTGAGTCTTCAACTCTCCCATCCTCACACTGAAGTCCACTGAGATCCAGCACCTGCAGGCAACACCTGGTAAGGGAGGCAGGTAGAGAGCTAGTAAATAATGTTTAAAAAAAGAGAAAACTTAATATAACCAACACAGAAAGAGAGAGAGATATTTATGTATATAATACACCCTCACATGTATACAAATATTTTCAAATTAAATTGAAATAGCTAAAGGGTGACATTCCTTTTTCTTTTTACTCTTAACAACATCAATAAATATTACAACTATATCCATCATGTAACAATATTCATATATTACTGTAATGGTAAAGCTGGATTTCCAGCATCTTTACTCCAGTCTTTAGTATCACATTATCCTTCAGAAATCATTGCTGAAAAATGTTTTACTATTCAATGTTGAACAGTTATTTGATTAATTGAAAGTTCAAAATAACAAAAATTTCCATTTCAAATAAATGCTTTTACCTTGAACTTTCTATTTATCAAAGAATCTTGAAAAAAATGTATCATGGTTTCCCCATTTTCTTCAAGACTATTTGATAAGTATAAAAGTTCAAAATAACAGCAATTTGAAATATAAATATTTTACAATATTATACATGTCTTTACTGTCACTTTTTCCTGAAAATAAAAAGTAATAATTTTCACACAAAAATATATGTTGTTGTTGTCGATTGGTAATGTGTTTGTGTGCATTTAATTTGTATTTTTTTTATATACAATAAAAGTCACCATCCAATCAATAACCTATATTTATTTGTCATCCACATGTGCTTTTAACATGCTTACTGCCAGTGTGGTTGAAGGGGGCATCAGTGACATTTCTACCTATATTTATCCATGCTGTCAGGTCAGAGACATATCACATGAGGCACGCTGTAAAGATGAAATTCATTACTAAGTATTATATGGCACTGTGCTGACCTTGCCTCTTTCATAGCTCATTTTGTCATTTAAATGAAAAGGGGTAATTTAGAGATAACATCCATACCTCTTGTCCGTCAGTCCCCTGACCACAGCCAGCAGCAGAGCCTGAACGCAGAGGCGGTTGGGAGGGCACTGGACCGCTCTTCTGCTGTCTCCCACAGTCAGTGTCCGCTCAGGCCACCGCTGGACGAGCTCGCCGACGGCTAGAGGACGGCGGTGAGAAAAGGCGGCGTCCAGCAGCGCTCGGAAGAGCTCCCTCGGCACACAACTTAACCAATGCGGCGAAGAGCTGTGGTCGCTCACTACCTCCCGGGCGCACAGGTTCACCAACGACAGGACCATCTGTGGACGGCATCCGAGATCATTAGTTACTTGACACGCAAATATCATGGCAGAGTGCAGCATATTGATTAAAAAACAAAAAAACAAAAAGAATGATCAAATACCTTTATCTTTTAAGAACGCCCCCCCAAAGCACCTCGGTGTTTATTCCTCGGTGTAAATTATCTTTCCCACCACACTGTAATCCTGTACATGTTACATTCAATTAATAGACGTGTTTAACAAGCATCTGACTCGCAAGCGTCTTAAATGTCTAGTACCCAGTAAATATATGATTACAAATGTTCACCCATAAGCGGGTTGTAGATTATTATGCCACGTGGAACATCAGTAACGGCAAGTAAAATACAATTACCCGGTATGTGAGATCTGTATGAATATTACAAAGTGTTGTTATCTCTGGATTGTTTTTCTATGCTGCTCCGACTCCCCGTCTGATGTTTACGATTGAACTGAAGTCGCCCTTTGATGACGCACACACACACAAAAAAAATCCTTTCTTTGGCGACTAGCCCACTAGCCCTGGCACACAGCCACACACACACACACACACACACAACGAAAATTATCACACGTCCCAAAATAAGGATTTTAGGTATCAAACACAAAACTATAGTTTTATTGTCACAGACGCTCAATCATCCTTAATCGACATCCTAAATGGCTACAAAAGACTGACTCCATTCACGTTTCTTTCCATGTCAACACTGTTTGAAATTTCACATTGTTATGAGAAATGATTATGAACAGGTTCAAATACATCAGCCTTGAAAGCTTCAACAATATTTGGTTCATATTTTTATCTTTCAACCATGCAAAAGTACCCAGACGTAAATACATGTCAAAGCCAACATTACAGAAAGTCAAAAACAAATGGCAGCAACAAAATGTGAAACCTGCATACATTCAATAAAAAAAAGATCAGTGCAGTGTATACTAAAATAGAATTTCAGATAATTAAGCTTACAAAAAAAAAACTTTATAGTTCAACCATATATAAAGATATCAGGCAAATAAAAGTCTAAAATGTCTACAGCTGATTTGCTAGAGCATGGTGCCAACAATGCCAGGATCAATGGAGTACCTGTTAGTTGCAGATAAAAATATCTGCCAAAAGCACACAAAAAGCTTTCATATAGGCAGAACAATTGATTAAATTAAATGACAAAATTCACATAAACAAGCTTCAAAACTTACACTTAACCAATCCCCCCTCTCGGCCAACAAATTATGAAAACAGTAGGACAACCAATAAAATGGAAAGGGGCAAAAATGGTGCTTGTGCAGTCTTTGTAGTCCAAAGTGTCCTCAAAAAAATGTCACATCCCATTTCCACTGTCAGAATGCTGGTGTTTGAATGTGACTATCTTTCATTCCTAGAGAACTGGTTTTATTTTCTCAGCCTCACCAAAGCCTAAACGAGTCCATGTCAAACCTTGTCCAAGCAGCTCTCCAGGAATTCTTCTCAGCCACAGTCTTTGACCTTCTTTAGGGGCAAATGGGAGGGAGGTGTAAATACCTCTCATTTTTCCCCCTCCTCAGTCCACAATGAACAATTAAAAATTAAGCACACACATTTCAGAAAATAAAGTTTTTTTTTCCTTGAAAAAGCAAGAAGAAAGTGGGTGCAAAGTTGTCGGCGAGGCCCTTTGGCTGAATCTCAGGTTGTCATCCCTGAGAAAGCTTTAGACACACAGAGCTCTAGGGACCCTGCAACACAGAACAAAATAAACCACTTCAAAAGACTATGGCAAACAATTCATTGCTGAAATACAATACACTGAAACACACTAACTTGCTTACTTTATAAAGATTGCTTCATGAAAATGAGCTCACCTGTCTCTTTCTTCCATGAAGCTGTCCACTTCCTCTTCATCATCATCCAGCTCCATGTCCAACTCATTGTCAAGGCCACTGCAACCATAACTACTGAGAACACTGAACAGAAGTAGATGATGTGAAAAAAAAAAATTAATAAAACAAACAAAGCGTGTACTGTACAGTCACAGTGAGTGATTACTGACCTGACTGAGCGGCAGGTGAAGAATACAATGCGTTTCAGTTTCTTGTTGTAGAAGAGGTAGTTGAAGGACCACAGGCTGCCTTCCTCACCGAAGGGGTCAGAGTCGAGGTCTGGGTTGTAGCTATAGATGTACAGAACGCATTTAAAAGGTTTGAAAATGTTTGTTAGACACCTCTACAACTGAGTGCAGGGGAGAAATGATTTCTTCACTCTTCACACACACACACACCTATAGATGTCACAGCTCTGCAGGTTTATCTCTTGGTCAATGGCATTCCACAGTTCTGGGCCTAAAGAGTTAAACTGCTCCCCTACAGCAGAATAAAGGCTGCTGTTAACAGAGTCAGCCACCTGGAGAAGAAACACAAACATACATGTCAGCAAAGCTTAGGCCAAAGAAATCATAGTTTCTGAAATTTCAAAACAAATTGATAATTAATAGATTAAAATTAATCCAGTTTTATTACAAGAAACCATATCTTTCAGTTTATGGGACCTTTTGAATAGTTTCAATTCAATTTTTAAAGTGCATCCAAATCACCTTTGTACCTGATATATAATATCGTCATAAAAAGTGCAATGATACAGCACTTTTTTTTTCTTTACCCAAGCAGATATGTTATCACGATACAATGGAAGCTAGTCATACTAACCCAGTTAGCGCTGGGCTCTCGGCTGAACTCATGGGAGCGGGCGGCACTGAAGTCATAATCAGGCCGGAACGACTCGTTCAGGGTGGTGATAAGGTAAAACAAAGTCTTCCTGCAACACTTATCACTTAATGGGTTCTCTCCATCCTCCCCACTCTTCCCCAATCTACAAGAAAACGCACAAGAGAGACAGTGTAGTGCAACTGCAGCAGCTGATGTAAAGCTTATGGTTGTGTGTTAAGGCTTACAGGTTAGGGCTCGGAGCGCTGCTGGACTGAGGGGGTGACAGAGCTTCTAGTATGTGTGGCTCCCCCTCCTGACAGAACTGCTTAAACATGTGCTTGTCATCCCCAGCCATCTTACACGAGTAACTTTCGATCCTACAGGTAGCAAACGATAAAGAGAAAAAACAATTATTTGATTGGACTGTTTGTTCATCTGTACAATCATTACACAAAATATTGACATATATATTGCTTGGGTTTTATAGAAGATATGATAAACATAGTTGTATTGCAGTGTTCAAGACATCTGCCTTGCTTGCTGGACTTTAGCAAACCTATATTTTAAGGCTCAGCTAAAAATGTTACAAGTGTAAAGCTAAGGGCATGGGAATATCGTATGTGTTTATCTTTCTGGCTTATGCAAGAGAGAGTCCCAGAGTCAATCCACAGACAGGCTTATTTATAGGTGAAGGGCAAAGGCTATAGCAGGACAGACTGTCATATGATTCAGGACACTGTAGCCAGCTTACTGCAAGCAGTGTTAAAGCTCCACAAATCAGTGGGGAAAAAGCAAACAGTGGTGTACGTGAGTGTACTTGGCTGTTGTGTGTAAAGATCCGTTTGAGTGAAGACACACCACACCGAACTAGACAGTTTGAAATTAGGCCTGTAACAAGATACTGATTGTGACCGTTTTCGCAAAATAGAGATGGTACCAAGGCACACACATGTGTGCTTGACAATGCCATTGTGAGCACTATTAAGAAGAGATATAATGATACTGTCATCTGTGCTCAGGTATGCCACATTTGATCTCTCTGTACTGTGCGCTAATCCAGTAACATGATTAAATGCCAAAGAGGCTAGTGGCTCATATGAAACTCTGCTGTGTTTACATGCATCCCTAAATAACTACACTGGTATGTGTTAGTTAGAGGATACACAATCTGCGTCACGGCAACAACAATCGTATCTTGGGGTTTATCATCATCTTGGTAACGGACCCCCTTGTGTTTACATAACACCTTGATAATTTCCAGTTTTAAACCTAGCACCAAATATCTAACCAAAATACATGTTCTAATATTGAAAACCCAAATAAAAGTGGTTCAATACCCTTACATTGTGACTGTGATGATCTGAAGTTCTTAAAAGTGTAAAACTACTGGTATATTAAGAGACGGCTAAAATGATGCACTTCTTTTTGATGTGGTGGGTAATATTACGAATGCGATAATAGTTCTGCAACTTTCTTTCTTCTAAATGCGTCTATCAGATGCAGGTTCCTGCCAAACATGCTATTGTATTCCGAGTAAAACACCGTCAGATAAAACACTGATGCACATGACGCTTTATTTGACACTACAATAACCACAGGAAGAACGAAAGCATGTGTGACAGGATGTTCAGCAGAACAGACAATTGAACTTAAACATTAAATTAAATTTAAACCCATTTATTTTCGACCAAAGAACTTCATGACATTTCCAGTTGTTTGTGGTTATTACTGGGATTCTTGAGATTTTTCACAGCGATTGCACTCAGTTTTTAAAAGGGATAGTTCACAAAAACAAATCTGTCTTCATTTACTCATGTCGTTCCAAACTTGTGTGATTTTTGTTAATCTTCAAAACACAAATGTAAATATATTCAAATGAAACCTGAGAGATGTTACATTACATTGAAAGTCCCTTCTCCCTCAAAATGACTGTCTTCTGAAGAGACATGATTGCTTACACATTTTATTATTTATTCTTACATACATGTTGACTGATATATGCCACACAGAGAACACTGATTCGTAGGAATTATTGTTACAATCTCTTGCTGACTTTTTTTTTAAGTCTCTTTAACTCTTGTCAAAGTTTTGGATGAATGGGCTTTCAATTGAGGGATAGAATTCTCAGGTTTCATTCAAAATATCCTCATTTGTGTTTCAAACAAGAACAAACTTCTTATGAGCTTGAAATGACATGAAGGGGAGTAATAACTATTTTCATTTTTTGTCTCTATCCCTCTGACTTTGCAAAATCTGCAACACACTTTTCTCTTATATTCCCTTGTTTTATAAGTCACAATTCTTGGACTAATAAGTTTAAAGAAAACACAAATGCTCAAGATTATTATTCACCAAATTCATACCTGCCAAGGATGTGAGCGTCTCCAGTTTCAACACACAGCTGGGAGCTCAAGGCCTCAAAAAGGGAATTCTCTAAAAGCTTCATAGCTGGAAAACAAAACAAACACACACACACACACACACACTTAACAGAAACCAAGTAACGTTATCTGTGTTTCATTGTTTGTGGATAATCTGTTACAATACAAATTATTTATTGAAGGAACTAGTGGCATCACGTTCAAATGGAACACTGCCATGGAGATGCTCAAGAGGAAAGAGGAAACGGTTCGGCTGCGTCTAGTGTTGCTAATTTACATTCAAAGTTCACTAGTGAGTTATGTAAAAATATGTGCACATTCACTACATTAAATTATTTTATATTATCACTGAGAAGCTGCTTTGATACAATCTGTACTGTCAAAAGCGATATATAAATAAAGGCGATTTGAAGTCTACATGAACACAATAAAAAATACCAGATATGAAGAGTTCAGATGCAAAAGCCTCTAAGTGCCATTTGAAATTTTCTTTTGGAATGATCATTTTTATCAAGCTTGTATATTTAAGTTCAGTAATTTCAGTTAAATTGCAATGAGGATTACCTATTAATTGTCATTTAAATAAAATTACTGAACTTGAATATATAAGCTTGATAAAAATGATCATTTTAGAAGAAAATTTCAAATGGCATTTAGAGGCTTTTGCATCTGAACTCTTCATATATAAAATTGCACCTTTTCTAAAGAAAAGAAAAACCCGAAGGATTATTTGTTGACTTCGCATCTGAAAACTAAAGCCTAGTTCACACTACGTGATTTTAAGCCCGATTTAAGCCCGATTTGCAAATCGTTGAGTCGCCGACAAGTCAGGGTGTTATCGCGTGCAAATCGCGGGCGATTAGCGGACGATTAACGCTCGCCAATCCGATAGTGTGAAAGAGCCAACAACGCATCAAAGACAGCTCGCAGACAGCTCGCAGACTGGTCACCGAGCTCAGAAAAATATCTAGCATGCTAGATATCTCGAGCAGTCGCGCGACTCAATCTCAGTGATGTCATGAGTACAGCCAATCATAGCAACGCATGGGTTGAGGACACCAGGTAAATCTTACTTTTTCTTTTTTGCATTTTTTTTTCTCAGAGCATATCGTCGAGCAAACAGTGTGCAGCACTAGTTTCTGTCTGACGTCCATATTCGCGTGTTGTGTTCTTCTCTGCAGTTTCGCGTCATTTCTGGTTCGTTTTATTGCGTGGTTTTTCGTGACAAAACATGGTTTCTAGACCAGATAGAATCGTGTTGTTGTCAACTCGTTATTTGTTTGATTATTTTCAGGATTTAGACCGTACTATAGTACTGAAACAGCTCTCATTGAGTCACAAATGATATGCTCTTATCATCCGATCGTGGTTGTATCTCGATGTAGTGCGTTGTTAACTCGTGTAGTGAGTTACCTCCTGTTGTGGATCAATCACGCTGTGTTGTGTGGTGTGAACAGCTAAACAACTTGAACACTCATGATTTCACTGAGAGCAAGTCATGTAGTGTAAACTGCACAGTTCAGCCCGACATTTTAAAATCATGTAGTGTGAACTAGGCTTAAAAAGAGTCCATCTGACTGTCTTCCCCTCCCAGCAACAACCCACTTCCTACTTTATAAATCGACGTTGGGTTAAAAAAAAAAGAGACAAGACTAAACGGGGGTGGGGTGGGGTGGGGGGGCAATACTGCTAACAGGACAATATTGGATTATTAAATTGGTTTAGGAGATAAATACATTCTATTATTTCCAATAAACAACATCCACTGACCTACGTTTGACTAACTAACTTTAGATTGTTAATATTGACGACATTTAAATCACAGAGTATGTTTTGTTATGCTTACCTTTCTGGCTGCACTGTGACTTTTCGATCGGGGCGAAAAGAGCAGAAGGGATCGATCACAGAAAGATCTGTTGAGTTGTTGCCCTAACTCAATACACAATACAAGCTAAAATGCTCTGGCGCCTACGCACGGTGCGGGGCAGCAATAAAATGCGTTGCAGTGCGAATTTAGTATATTTGAAAATGACTCGGTCGAGACTGACATATTCTGCAGGCGTTTTCTCTTATCGCAAAGCTTCGTATTTCGACTAAACGCAACATAAAATTCAGCGATTGTGTCGAGCTCAAAGACAGCAACTGCGGCAGCATCACCTTATTTGACCTAGAACAAATTTATCTTCTGAAAACGAGATAAGCGTCGCTTTAAATTACGCGACTTGATCAAACGATGGTTAAATTACCACCTGTGACCTATCGTTAAAGGTTATGCTTTCTGATTCTTGTGTTATGTCCGTAGAAAAAATCTCGAAAACAGCCTCTATGTCCGAAAACAATGTACAAGTCACGCCTCTCAGCAGTCATTTCCGTTGATAATGACCACACCCACTTATGTGTTTAGTAAAATAACAATGGACGCTTCTATTGGCTGTTTAGTCTGTCAATCACATTTACTAGTCATTCTATTGGTGAAATGGTAAGATAATTTAAATCCAAAGAGCGACTAGTCTTTTCTGAATTTTTTGCAAAGTGTTTCTTTTTGTGTCGAGGGAAAAAAAATTAATGGGTAAATGTTAAAAAAATAAAAATAAAGACAGATTATTTAGGCATTGTAAACATATATTTCGAGAAAATGTTTACCAGTTTTACAGGAAATATAGCACTTCTATCCACTTGGCTAAAGCAGACGATTTCTTACTGTTATTTATTTTAACGTGTTTTTAAAAATAATTTTATCATATTGAATCAAAATGAATAAACAATACATTCCAAAGATGTAAATATAAAGATTTTTAACTAAATCAATTAATGTTGCCGTTTCGTTGCACAATTATTACGTAATTCACAGACCTACGTATTTGTACAAATAGAGAAACATGAACAAAACCAGGCAGTAAGCTAGACATGGATGGTAAAATATGTTACTAAAGTAATCATGGTTTAGCTGTGGTATTTGTAGTTGTGGTCATGAAAGCATTAACCCAAAACAGTATTTTTGTATTGTAATCAATCACCACAGTTGCATTACAGTTATGTTAGTGAGAATTGTTTTAGCTTGACGTGGAAAATTGGGATATCCCCTAGTCTAGATGAGAAAGCGGTTGAATGCGTGTTTTCAACAGGAGGCGCAGCGCCTCTCGTAGGTTGTAAAATGTCTGTCTCCGTTTGAGCCGTGTTTCTTCCTGCTGTGACGCTGGCTGGACTGCCCTCCACCTGAAACTAAAACAAAGATGACAAGGCCGCTACTTCTGGGTAAGTGTCCGGATCAGAGAGTTACAGGATATATCCCAGCCTCATATTAGCGAGCAAAACCCGGCTGGGACTGGGGTGTCAACACGATTTATCCCGTCAGTCGGCAGCGGCATGTCGCTGAGCTCAGGCGGGTGGACTCACACACCTCCGCCGGCCCAGTCCTCGTCGTCTCATCTCGGCCATGAGGCCTCGCAGTCGGCCTGCTGCACTGTTTTGATGTCAGTGAAGGTGTCAGTATGCCACTCCGGTATACGTCCACTCTGTCTACCGGGCGCCGGAGACGAATCTCTCCGTCTTCAGCTGAGCATGGACCCGGGGAAGGCAGGGGAATTCCGCCTTGCGTTACGGGACATCAGCGGAACAGCGGCTGGACGCAGTGTGGTGAGGAAATGTCGAACTTGCCCGAAGTCTCAGTCTGCCGTGCTTTGAACACTGGATAAAAGTTTAGGGGGAAAAATATACAGCGATAGTATATTCATTCCAGAAGTATCTGCGTAGTCATTATATAGCGCTTCCCTGTGGCTGAGATAGAGTTCACACACGAGTGAATCACATGTTGTTTTGCCATTCTTTGTTGTTGAAATTCACCCTCCACCACCGATATCTGTTAGTGAGCTGAGAGTCGTAAGTAAACTTTACGGTCTTCACGCTACTTATCACGTTTAATTTCTGTAATCACTTCATTTGCTGTAAGAGACAGATTGAGAGAAAGTGAATCTGTCCATTATGTCAAATTATGGACTTCGTTATGTGACCCCGGTAAATATACATTAATGTAAATAATAATAATAGAACCTATTCGAATACATGTACCTTTATCCCTCTGTTTTACAACTATGCAGGCAATGCTCTTTCAAAAGTGTGGTTGTTATCCAGGAATATTATGCGTGGACACTGTGACAAGCTACTACACCCTACAATCTGCTACAGTTTATAAACTAGTTCAGAAAATCATAGCATGCGGATATTATGTTTCATACCCAGGGTCTTTGAGATCCCAAAGAGAATTAATATCATTTTGAAATCATTACATTCTCATCAGTGTTACCTTTGCAAAACAACATGTACCCAATGAATGTAACAAATTATGATAAAAACAAAAGAATGAAATGGGCGAAGAATAAAATTGCCAAATTTTTGAATCAGTAGGATGATACATTTTAAATAGGCTAGGTCAGTGGTTCCCAAACTTTTCTATGACAAGGCCCACCAAATAATACCACTAGGTTCTGGCCAAGACCCCCCTTTTGCAGGATGTGTTATTGAACCCATCGACAATACTATAGCAAATGTAGAAATATATAAATAAAGCATCAGGTCTCTCTCGGAAAAGAGACTCAGTCTCAAGGGACTTCCTGGTTAAATAAAGATTAAATAAAAAAACCTAGGTGAACATCATATTGTGTTATTGTGACACATTATAGAGAGCCTAAGTCCCTCCCCTTCCGGTCGACCACCATGGGACCTTATTTCGGAAAGAAATATTATATGGTAGTCAATGGCGAGAGACAACAAATATTTTGATCTGGTTTGAATTGTGTCCTGAATTACACATATGATGTTTGTCAATTTAATAGTCTATATACATTTTAAAGTCTAGAAAGTCGCAGTTTGGTTTAAAACTCTTGAGGTATAAAGGCCCTTGCACATTAAGTCTCCAAAACTTTCGTCCGTCATTTAAAAAAAATCTGATCGGGTTCTATTTTCTGTGTTTTCCGCATCCGTAGCAAGCAGTTTGAATGGTATTTTTACAATTCAGAGCCACCGAATCACGAATACGAAAATTTCACGACTCAGTGTGCAAGGGCCTTAAGACTGTGTAAATACATAATTACAAAGACTGCAGACCCCAAAGGTGCACATTTTCTCTCAATGAATGAAGCTAACTTTACACTAACATCTGTCATTTTTTCTGTAGTCTTACATTATAATCGTAACATTATGCCGTCATGCCTGAGTGTTTGTACCAGACTGCACACATACGAGCAATGGATCTTGCTCGTTGTTTCGCCTCCCGGGAGATGTAGTTCATTAAGCGATTTTCACATAAAACTAAATGTTACTCTTCTGTTTTATGACAAACTGCGACTTTCTTGAATTTCATAATTGTCTTTTAAATTGACAAATAACATGTGCAATTCAGGATTAAACACTTCCTGTTTCAGTTTGTAACTGTTTTCTTTACTTCACATGTAAAGAAAACATCTTAAAGTTGTTGTTTAACTTTTTGATTCAGTTTTACATGTTCTGTTGGTTCTATTTTATCCCAGCTTTTATGTAGTGTTAAGCCGGAAGCGGAGGGGAGGGACTTAGGCTCTCTTTACTGTCTCTATAGTGATGCACAGAACATTTTTCTAGGCCGATTAAATTTTTTCATTGAGTTTGACCTGCCAATGCAGACCTGCCGTTTTTTTCATTGAGTTTAACCTGCCGATAATATGTATAGACCAAAATGGTCTATACATATTTTTTTCCGAAATAAAGTCCCATGAGCCGGAAGCGGAGGGGAGGGACTTAAACTCTCTTTTACTGTCTCTATAGCGATGCACAGAACATTTTTCTAGGCCGATTACGTTTTTTCATTGAGTTTGACCAGCCGATACAGATTTTAGCCGATTGTTTTTAATATATATATATAAAACACCATATAAATACAAATTAAAAAAATATATCTTAAATATTTTGCATTTAGGCATTTTTTGTTTGAAATCATATTTAATTTGTCCATCAAAAGTGTGCTTTCTCTTTAATTGAGCGTGAGCAGCACAACAAAAGAAGATTTGGCACTGAAACCCCCCGCTTCACTGCTGCTCACGCGACGCTCCTGCTCCCAATGTGAATGTATGCACGCCGAAAAGTGCTGCTCGCGCTTCCGTTCCGTGTGCACGTGGGATGCTGATGTTGCGCGAATCGCAATGTTAATCATGCGGTGGCCGAGTGCATTTGATATTTGTCATGACTCATGGCCGATCACGTTAAAATTTGCGAATTTCGGTTACCAGCTGATCAATCGGTGCATCTCTAAAAGACTAGCATTAAAAGTATAGAAATATTCAGATAGGCTATGCAACAAATTATTATAATGCTATTTCATAACAATATAAATATTTTTACATTTTCTTTTTCATTTTTTTGATTATTATTATTTTTTATTTGGTTGTGATAGATAAATATTTCCTGGACTATATCATTTCAGTAGTCAAACCACTGAGTTTTATTAAAGTAAAACAAGTCCCCATCATATTTGTGTGTCTCTCTTTGTTTATTTTCACTTAGTCAATTGCTGAGTTTGACCTCAAGACTGTTCGCTATGAAGTCAAGTCCCCACAGTGCCATGAACTGAGTTTGGCAACACCCCCACATGACCGTATCACTTTCAACTTCCGCTGTGAGCAGGAAGCTCAGGAGTGGGCCACTGTGGTGATGTCATCGCTCCGTGAAGCGCATAGAGGTTTGCTTTTCCTTCTGCTTTCTCCCAGCTATTTATTGCCAGTTCTGTTCGTTTATTCATCTTCTCTAGTTTTATATAATGATTTTGATTTTCGATTGACTTTTACTGTTGGTCCTTATAAACCCCTATGTCTCTTGGTCGTTATTTCAGTGGCGATTCACTCCTCCACTGAAGAAGGAAAGCTACCTCCCCAGCCTCTGGATTCACAGAGCAATGCACCCAAGCCATGTACAGGTAGTCATTTGTTTTCTTGTATTCATTTTCTGCTCACGAACAGCTTGACCCTGTTGCCAAACAATAAACAACGTGTCAATTGTCTATTATGCTGACAACTGCTTCCATTTCCAATTCTAGCCTCTATCCCACTCCTTTCCCATCCAACTTTCTCATTCTTGTCCTTATTCATTTTCTGTCTTTCTTCTTTTCTCTCTAGAGGAGATATGTGCGGAGCTGGTTAGCGCAATAGAGGCGGGTGATGTTCGGGCGGCATCTGTCTGTGCATCATCTTTAGCTAAACAGAGAGCTGCTCTGAGCATTCAGCCCTCTAAACATAATTACACTGACACTGAAATTAGGTAAAATACACGTTTACCAACACTCACCCATCAGTTTAACAATGTTTCCTAACCAGATTCATAGCGACAAGCGATAAAAGATGTCTATTGCATGTTAATCTGTGCCTCTGTCCAGCTGCTGCAAGTGGCATTACATTTTGTCAGGCACTGGTTTTTGATTTCTGTGATGGTTAGCCCTGATCCACAGTGGTTGCGCTTTCGGTGACCCGAGTCCAAATCCCAGCTTGAGATCCTTTCTGATCCCCCACCCACACTCTTCATTGTCCTATCTGGATTAAGGCAAAAAAAAAGAAAAATTAATCAAGGGTGAGGGGAGCTTCGATTTGAAAACTAAATGTCAAATTAATTCACAAAAGTTCTAAAACACATTTTTTGTAGAGAATGCAGGCAAACAGAGAGAAACAGTTTTGATTGGCTGTATTTTGGAATTAAATGTCACGTCATGCCCTGTTTTTGCCTTCAGAGCGACAGAGACATTTTGTGTTGCTGAAATCTTGCTACATTGGACCTGGTTAGGACACAGTTTGAAAGCATGTTTCATAAATTTGTTTTTACTATTTTAAAAGTAACATTTAAAGGGATCTTTTACACAAAAATAAAATTCCTTCATTTACTCACCCTCATGTCACGTCGTTCCAAAACTGTTGACTGTGACTTTCTTTCTTCTGTGAAACACAAAAGAAGATATTTTTAAAAAAAAGACACAAAACACTTAGACACTTCTCAAAATATCTTCTTTTATGTTCCACTGAAGAAAGTCAGTCACGGGTTTGGAACAACCGAACTTTAATTCTTAGGTGAACTATCCCTTTAATTTACACCAACTCATTTGATAATCCATCCAACCACTCAAATACACACATTTTTACATGTACACACATATGTTTCCAAGCCATTCTGATCTCAGCTGATGCATTGGTTTATCATGCAGCCTGGCTGTGGTGGTAGAGGATGCATCCTCTTCTTGTTGTGTCACAGTGAACGTCTTCCCCCACTCCACAATTGGTGCTCTCAAACAGCAGGTTGGTGCAGATTAACATTAACAACCATCAATCAAATAAACATACATCAACCATTTTTCAATGCCGTGTGATTCTCAGAATTACTGTAATTACCATTTAGCTTTTGTTTTTGCCCTGTAAGGTCTTCGCAGACTATGGTTTTCATCCGCGTGTGCAGCGCTGGGTCATCGGCCAGTCTTTGTGCTCTGATCATCGCTCTCTTGCTTCTTATGGAGTTCAGCGAGATGGCGACACTGCGTTCCTTTATCTCATTTCTGCCCGTCAGGCTCGAATCAGTCGAGGGTTGTACCAACAAGATCAGCAAAGTGCTTTACTCATGCCAGCTTTGGTGCCAACGTCTAATCCGCCCCACCAAGAAGCAGTAACCAATGGGCCAGCAACTCTGAACACCACCTCAAGGCCATACAGCACTCTGCCTACGAGACTTCATAGCAGCCATAATACTCTGAGTGTGTATGCGCAGACACTAATACACACCGTGACCACAAAAGTCCACCAATCAAAGTCCTGACATGCATTTACTTAAATTCTGTTGATTATAGACCATTTCACAAGATGTAAACAACACTGGTCCAGAAACACTTCCTGTTTCAGTTTGTAACTGTTTTCTTTATTTCACATGTAAAGAAAACATCTTAAAGATGTTTGTTTAACTTTTTGATTCAGTTTTAAATGTTCTGTTGGTTGCATTTGATCCCAGCTTTTATGTAGTGTTAAAAAACTGAAA